AATGAAGATTATTATAATGATCATGTTAGCAAAATTTTTTAATACATTTTAAAAATTAAGAAGATAAAAATTGATTAAAAAGTAAGTGTTTGGATACTCATATTTATGAATAATGATTAATATTGTGCTAATTATAGATAAATCAAACTTATGGTTATATAATGAATCATTTGGGAGAGTAATAAAAAAATTAGTCAATTACATCAATTTTGGAGAACAACTTATTTTTGTCCCAAGAAAATCTATTAGTGAATGATTGATCATGTAATATTTATTAATCTTAAGAAGATATATAATCGTTAAATGTGAACATATATTTATTACACATTAAATAAGATCAATTTTTTTTTGCTATGATAATTTGTATAAAAGTATTAATAGTAGAGGAAAAAAGCTCAAGCAATTTTTTTATTTTTTATTTTTAACTCAAGAAGACCTGGTTTTTTTTTATTAACAAAAAACACATTTTATTCCATAAAAGCAGGGAAATACAGCACAGAAAAATCAACGACCAACAAAACCTCAACAGGACAACCAATACGAAAAACATCCAGTTGTGTGAAAGGCAGAAATAGACTCAGGAGAAGCCCCCAGCACCAATTCCGGGCCAACCAGGGACTATCCATGATAAGCAGCTACAAAAGACATAAGTCACAAACACCGAGTCAAAGCACCCAGGTTGCCAACCAGGCCAGCCAACAAGAGGGAAGCTGAGGGCTTCAACATCATCGTCCAAAATGCACGATAAAAGCCACATTCGAAACAACAAAAGGAGAGTGATAACCAATTACTTTTTGCCTTTACTTTTTCCCTTTTTATCAGCAACATTGGTATGAAATTTCTCAACAATACGAGAAGTCATAAACTCTTCTTGAAATTCCACTTCCTCCCCCTTAGAATGAGAAGAAGAAAATCCATCCAAAATTAACCAATCCATTTGCAAAAGAACAGAGTTGTTCCTAGACTTAGCCACATGAGTCATTCAATCATAATTAGACATCACAACGATAGGAACATTAATAAAAGAAGTATCACCCTGAGACTTAGGGGTAGAAGAAGCTTGAGGTAAACCATTAACTAGAGAAACCATTCCAGGGGAATGTAAATAAACGGGGGAAGGCCTAGCATCATAGCTAACGGGAGATGAAACACCATAACCTGCCAACCCCACGCAGGGAGAAACAAGCCTAGGAGGCATCACCTCCCCAGTATTAACATCCAAATCCATCAAAACACATGCCTCAGCCAAATCCTCAACACCATACAAACTAGCTTTGAAATTATAAACACAATTTAAATCTCCCAATTCACCGGCAATCAACCGAGAAGCAAAGGATTCAGGTTCCAAACCAACCACGACAGCCGGACCAAGGACATTAAATGGAAGGTTCCCCTCCAAACCAACAGCATCCCTCGGAACAACAGGGGGGCGAAAGGAAGCAGAGGGAAAAATAACATCCACAACAACAAGATTTTCCCCAGCTAAATTAACAAAAGTGCCAACATCAGTCGCAACAACCTCGTGACAGCCAACTCCCAGGGATATATGAGACACAATAGGACTAGCTATCAAGTGAACTAGACCAAGGTTCATCTCCTGATCCACCCCAATAATAGGATCCATGTTATTAACCGGGTCAGAAATAGTAGGATTAACCAACCGATATGAAGAAACTTTGGCCAAATTCGGGTGCAGGATTAAACATTCCTGTTTGGAATGACCCAAAGAGTTGCAATGAACACAATATAACGGAACATCTTCAAAGATAGCCGACTGGACATACCCCAAATTATCTGGCCTAATCCAAACTTTGTTCGAAAATTGTTTAGAAACATCCAATTCGACCAACACACGAGCAACAGAGGGTCTAGAACCAACAGAAGTAGTATGATCGATTTTAAAAAATCGAGCAGCCAAAAATGGCATGGAACCGAACCCCTGAGGGATCCTCAGAGAGAACATGTGAGGGAGCAAATTCGAGAAAGACAACCAAACAAGAATAATAGGAGATTCAACATCCACATCAAACGAAGGCGACCATTTGATCAAACACATATAATAATTACTAATAAAATAGGAACGATGCACAAAGATACGCCAATAATCCAAATCGTTCGCTAATTTTGTAAGAACATTCTTCAAATTAAGCACATTAAATAAAGAACTCACCATTTAGCTTAAGATTGAAAAAGAACTTTCGAATAGCTAGCATCAAGGGACGGGCGGTGGGACAGAAATCTCCCAACTAAAGCAAAATCAAACGATTTAGCTAGGGCATGAATCTCAGCCTCAGAAATCCTCAGAGAAGGCATTCCCCGATTATAAGAGATTTTCAAATCAGGGAAGGAAGAAATGCTACCCGAAAGCACATCACGAAAGGACTTAGAAGATTTGCCCTCAAGAAAACCAGCATCTACCAAACGCGAATCTATCGAAAAGATAATACACAAGAATGCACAGAAACATAACAAGGAAAGCACAAAATGAAGCGGAAAATCACTTCCCTGATCGGATACGCGTCACCGGAAGGCAAGCACGACAGGAAGCAGAAGTCGCCATGGAGGGAAAAAAACCCTAGCAAAGCGATATGTGTGAAATTTAGGGCATACTAAGGAAGATATGTGTGACAAATATATTCAAAATCTTATAATAATCTACAAACAACTATAAAATAATTTCTTAAAGTCAAATAATAGCTTATCTAATTTAAAAAAATTATATGGAATTACACTCGCTCCATCTAATTAGAATAACTCTATAAATCCCACATTCCATTTAATTAAAATATTAATCCTATGAGGTCTCACTTGCTTACTTCATCTAAATATATAAATATATAGATAGATATAGATATGTTATCAAAAATCAATTCGATCATACATGAATCTCGATGCATATTTGAATTGGAAAATTTTAAAATTAAATTCAAGGCCATTCAAGCTTCAATTTCGACAAATTTATAGTAGAACTGAATTCCTCGACAAGATGAACACATTGATACGAACCCAATCCAAAAGCACATGAGCTCAAATCAAGCACTGAAAGTATAATAAAAAAATTAAGATATTAATTGGATGATCAAATAATCATCAATTCTCATATGCATATAATCAAATCAAGCATCTCAACAAGCCAAATCCAAGAAACTTAAGATTATTTACTTCTGACATCATTAAGATACTTAAATGTGAAAAAAAAAAATCTACGATCAAGATAAAAAATATAAACCATCTAATGGGTTGTTCTGGTATACTACTCTTAGCAATCTATAAATTGCCTCTACTCTCTACTTGAAGGGAGGATTGTATTTCTGCTTGCAATTAAGAGAGCTTAGAGGCTTCGATAATCTTGGAGCTCCACTCTAGCTCGAATGTATAAATAGGACCCTTCATATCTTGTCATTCCTACTATATATACTGGTGTATCATTATTTTGATTTACATCAATGAAATGTAAATTTTTTTTCAGTGTTTACTCAGATATATTTTATCACAATACTTGTATATGAGCTTTTATTTTTCATATACAAAATAAATTTTGTTCATCCTTTCATTAAATCCCATGTTGTCAAGATCTATCTCCTCTGAGACATGAAATGTGACAATAGGATGACTAAATATTATATATGCTAAAATAAGTGAACTAAGGCAAAAGATATAATCTTTAGAAGATGCAAGGCTTAATATTAGTTGACTAAAGATTGATAATATGATGTCCATTTTTAGTGTATGTGATTAGTCAACATTATTAAAATATAAATGTGATGCCTAAGCAAATTAAGCTTAAGTATCTTTGATCCATTACAGAATAATAACATAAAAAATGATGATATAACTTCTAGAGTTAAAGTTCGATGGTTAAAATATAGAAGTGTCTCACTAATGCTTTATGATTAGAGAAATTCATAAAGACATTAAGAAAAATATAATAAAAAGATAATCAAGGCAATTAAGTAAGCTGTTCAAAAATTGGTGGCCCAATATTTGAGTTATAAATAAGTTATATTCTTACTATTTTTTAAATATATATTTATCATTATATTCATCATATTTATTTGCTAATTTTGAAGTAGTAATCAATCTCACTGTGCAGGTAAAAAACATGTATATGAGAGGCAAATATGACTGTACTCAAATCTAAATTAGTAAGGCACAAATAAAACATGTAAAATATAATATAAATCATTCATCCAATACTTCATAGATTTTTTTTTTTTTTTCAAATTTGCTTTCACTAAAATACCCATTTATCAATTATAGAGAAAATATCATAAGTAACCATGAGAAAATTGTGGTTACTGTTGCAATCCAAGAGCCCGAGCTTTTGTTTTGCCAGGTCAACCCGAACCTGACCCGTTTTTCAAACGGGTCGAATTCATGAACCCGAACCCGACCCGATTTTCAAATGGGTCGGGTCCAACCCAAAAATTTCGGGTCGAGTTCGGGCCGGGTTTTCGTGTCGGGTCAAATATTGACACCCCTAGACGCATCACATACGTAAGATTCAAATTCAAACTCTCTTAGGGCATCTCCAACCGAGCTTCATACCCCTATTTGACGTTCGCAAACTTCTGCAATCGAAGGGCAAAAGATGCGTCATTCTCTTGTTCGTGAATAGTGCCACACTATATTGGCGTGACATTGTTCACAAATGCATTTTTAGTGAAAACATACAAAACAGAGGGAAGAAATACTAAGGCGTGTGGTTGAGAAAGAATATACACGAAATATTATCTTTTGTGTTAAAAAATAGAATTCGGTTGGAATTGAATTACTGCATTTTAAAATATTATTATATTTTAGTGTTGCGAAATAATTTTTTAAATTGAAGATAATATTAATTGATAGTTAAAATTCTCAATCAATAACCTAGAAAGAGCTGAGATTTTTTTTACTCTGATTTTAAGCTGATGATAAGCACCGGGAAAAATTGATTATATGAATATAATATTGAATGGTTACCAGCAAAAAACACATGGATAAAATGCTCAGCAGCGCCTAGTTTTGTAACAGTCAGCTGCCTCCGTCAACTACTCTGCATTTCACCCTGGGCTCAACATCTCCTCGCTCTCTCCAAAAAGAGGGGAAGCTTATCACGGAATCTTTTACCCTAATAAGTCTTTATCGATCCGCCGATTCAGCAGGCTTCTTTGATTGGTGCAGCCGGCCGAGAAGTGTGTGGTCTTTTTAGTAAGCTCCGTAAGATCTACGCCTCGGATCTCGGTTTAGGGTTCCGTTTGCGTGGTCAGATAGATGCAGAGGTCAACAAGGAACCTTGAGAGGTCGACGACGATGACAAGGGAGAAACGGGTTTTGGATACTGGCGACGGCGACGAACGCGGCGGTACAGAGACGAAGCGTCAGAAGGTTCCGGCTCTTGCCAGGTACTGTTAAGTCGGCTCCTTCGCCCGTATGGTTAAGGAGGAGCGTGTGTGAATGTGGAAGAGCTGGTTGGTGTTGAAATTTGAATTAGATGTCTGTGGAGAACGCTTTGTAGATGCTAAGTTGGATCTTGGAATTTGAGTGTCCCCCAAATGGCGTTTCTTTTTCTGAAGTGACTGCTTATTTCAGTTTTGTGCGAACTATTCTTGCTTCCCTTTTATTGGGATTGGGATTGGGATTTGTGATTGATAGAGAGTTAGATTCAGATGTGTGAAAGAAACTGTTTTGATTTAAGACTGGATTGCTAGACTAGTGGTGAAAGAGGGTGTTTTTCTCTCTATAAGTTTTGGTTATAAGACTAATAATCGAAGGTTATTAGGTAGTTCAACTTTCTAGTGAAGCAGTTGCCTTATTATACTAGGACCTTTCTTTGCATAACCACCTTTATGTTTGAAATTTTTATCAAATTCTTCCTATTTTATTTTATTTATGCCTGCAGTTGTTAATTTATATGGAATGAAGCCGAACATTAACCTGTAATGTTGTTATTGTTATCTAAGTTTCCTCTTTTCATTCTAGTGGTAACAAGTTATCTTGATTTGTTTCTCTTGGAAATTTTGAAGTCATGTTTGGTTTATTTTAAAGAAGATACAACTTAATGATGTGAAAAAATAGTGGATTTGGTAGCTCGGTAGGGTAATTAATGATTGTTTTGCTTTATGGTTCATTGGATTTGCAGTGATGGTAGTTTAGTTTTTTTTTAAGGGTGTTTACACTCATTCTCTTTTGTTGGAATTGTAAAGTTTAGTCTATTTGGAGTGTGGTGTTTTGGATAAAAGTAAAAGTGCCTTATTTTTAGAAGCATGTACGAAGTAGTGAGGTTCTAATTTTTTGCATCTATTCGTGAACTGATTTGCATCATGGATTCTTATGTTTTTCACGTAAAAAGTTAGATAAATATTGTCGAAAGAAAATCTTAGTCATGTTATATAATCTGTGTAGTAATCAGTTGAGGAATTTAAGATAATTATTATGCTTTCTTTTTTGGTCCTTAATCTCTTCTAATACAGTTGAGGTTTTAATTTAATTTTAACTTTTTTTTTTTGGTGAAGTTTTCCATTTAAGTTGTTGGCATTTGTACTTGTGTGTGGGAAAAAAACATGCTTTTGTTGATTATTCCTTAGGATTGAAATTCAGGTGCTTACAAATGTTTGTGAGTAAGTGCTTCAAGTGTATCTTTTCCGGGATTCTACTTCAGAACTGGTTTGGCTCAACCATAGCTGATGACCATCTTCTTGTAGTCCAGTAGTGGTAAAAACAAAAGCAAATGAATTAGCTAGCCCTGAAGTTGGATTTTTTTATTGTGTATATTATTCATATCCTTGTTGTCAACTTTAATCTCTACTCATAATTCTGCTTTGCTTATGTCATTTATTTTCTGTTAATTTTATCATAATGTCGATGTGTTCATGCACCCTTAAAGCAAGAAATTAGTTGAATCTCGGTAGTAAATTGTTGAGTTCCACAGGCGATTTTTTGTTTGTTCTTCTGTATTTGAATATAAGTAATAGTTATTGAATTTGACTTTTATGATGATCCACAGGGAACTGAGTAGATGCACAATTTCCCCTTGAAGAAAATTGCTATATTCCAGTTTCCTAATGGTTATAAATTTAGGCTTTGTTTGGGACGGCTTTCTTATTGCTTCTTAAAGCGGCTTTTTAGTAAAAAAAATTTAACTTTTTAACTAGAGATCAGCTTTAAGAAGCAGGAAGAAAGCCATCCCAAACGAAGCCTTAGTCCACCTCTTCTTTTTTAGAATAAAACTTTCATTAGACACTTCTGAGTTTTATCATAAATTTCTTTTTGGCAGGGAAAGTTTATAATGAAATTTTAGGAAATGTTTATCAATGCATTTTTTTTTAAGTTGTGTTTAATTGCTGCCTTCTTTTCCCATCAAGCCAAAGAAACTGGTTGGAAATGATTCTTGGAAACAGTCTACTTGTTATCCTCTTTTTCTGAATCCAGGAATATATTATTTGTTTCTATTTTAGTTCATTTTGTTGTAAAGGTTCACCATGTACATTTTGATGCCTCTGCTAATTTAAAAGATAACTTATATTCTCTACAGTGTGATTGTGGAAGCTCTCAAGGTTGATAGTCTGCAGAAGCTTTGTTCATCATTAGAGCCTGTGCTTCGTCGAGTTGTAAGTTGAAAAGCTTACTCCCTCTCCATTTTCGTATAATTAGGATTATTTCCAGTGGGTAGTCATTTGATTTGATAGATATGGTCATATTCCCCAATCTTATATGCATTTTGAATGATGATTTTATGACTATGATCTTCCTATTGTGGAGGATATATAGTACATGGCTACATGCATATTTTCCTTCGTGAAATGCAATGGCTTATTTATTCATGGATGTTATGTTAATTAATTTTGGAATGAGTTTTTCACCTTATCCAGTTTATTCTAGTCATAATTTTGCATTTCCTTAAATTTTATTAAGTTAAAATTTTGACAGCATTTAAATTTTCAGAAACATCAAGACCTGTTCTTTATTTTGTGTTAATGGGTTACTCGTATTTATGTAATATCTCTCCATTTAATTCTGGATCATGTTAAATGCCTTAGTGCTGATTATTTACGTTTTAAAGCGAGATATTTTATTTTCTATCTTCCATGAGTTAATTTTCCAGTAATTCCTCTTCAATGAACATTTGCAGGTTATCTTTCAAAAAAAAAAAAAAATCTTTCAAAAAAAGAACATTTGCAGGTTGGGTTTGTCTTCCAAGCAAAGCCCCAAACTGATTCCACGAGGCCCAAAATCTAAATAAGATTCTATTCAGTATAGTGAATAGATGCTTGCATATTGAATGATCAACCATAATATTAAATATTCAATGGAATAAGTATCGAAGCAGTATTAGATTTAGTTTATGCAGCAAGACATGTAAGATAATGGACAATTCATGGACTGAAGATATTGCTTTATTTATTTTGTCTGAAATTTTCTACCTGGACTCCTAAATCTATGATGAGCTGATGAGCTCTTTTTTGCTCTTCCTTAGCAAATTCAAGCTGGGATGAAAGATTTAATAAAGTTTTTGGAATCAGATAATTTTTGCAAACTGTTCTTTACACAGTTTACATTATGCTAAATTTAGGGTTAATTGTTTTTCATGAGCTGCATATTTTAGTACAGGTGGCCAAAGGGCCATGATTGAAATCAGTTTAGTATTAATAGTCTGCATATCTATTCATTATTCTTGCGATCTCTTGGTGGTAGTTATGTTTTAGTTATGGTGTTTGTGTTATGTAGGTCAGTGAAGAAGTGGAGCGCGCTTTAGCAAAGCTTGGCCCTGCTAGGCTTGGGGCAAGGTATGGCATTAGGATGTTAAATTACTGTTAGATTGCTAAATTTGGAATATTTTATATCAATTTGTTTCTTTTTGTATTTTTCATAGCATTGATTTATTTCTTAAACCATTTTCCTACCTTTGCATCTTACAAGAAAATGTCTCCAACACTATTAACGCTTTTTTTTTTAAACATTCTGTAGGGTCTGTATTCATTAAATGTTATCACATAGTGTTTTTATCAGAATTTCAAGTTGACAGTGTTGAGTAATTAGGTTGTTTGGTCGTGGAAAATTATAAAATAAATGTGAAACCTTTTGAGATTATCATGTAGGTTTTTGAGTTTGTTATTGGCTCTCTTACTTTTATGGTTCTCATTCTGTGTTAACGTTCCTTTTCAGTGCCCTTAAATTGAAGAAACATTTATGTGTCACAATATGCAAAAGTAGCAATATCCTTCGATCACCAAACAAATTGTGGAAATTTTCAAATTATTATTAGCAAGTGGAATTTTTTTTCAAATATGAAAATATATGGCCCAAGTTGGAGTTTGATTGTTGCATTTGCATTTGCAGTGTTGATGACAATTTAAAATTTAGGCATCTTAATGCAACTAGAATGAAGTGTTATATGTAAATTACTCAATGAAACTTAAGATTTATTGACCATTGAACACTAAATAAGCCAACAACTTTTTAAACGTAAAATAGAAATATAAAAATTAGATCATCACCACAATGTAATAATCTAATAAATTCAAAGAAATTAACAAAAAATTCAAGCAATGTGAAATCACATGCAGTTGTAATTTAATCATCATAAATAGATTGATTTTCCTATCGAATTTGAAGAAAATCAAGTGCAGTAGCAAGCAACAAAATATATAAAAGAAACTAGGTAAAATCTGAAATATGTCATTATAAAGATATGGATTTTCCCTGAATTAGGTAGTCACTTATAATGCATGAAGGCATCACAAATCCAACTGGCACAAATAAGATTGAAAATTTTATGATGAAATTTTTATTTAGTCAAAGATATTGATTTATATATCTTAGAATAATTGTTTATAGACTCCACTCCCTTTAGTAGATATGATTGTCATATGATTAGCCTAATTTGATTCCAGATAACTTTCAGGATCATAATTCAACCTTTCTCTAAAGTTAAAAATTTAAAGAAGCTACACCATCAATTCCGATTTATGATGATAAAGTTGTGTAAAATAATTCGTTATTAATGTGTGTCACTCCTTGGGAGACATTTATCCATAATGGATGGAAAATGGGGATTGGTAAAGCCGATCCGAAACAATTGGGATAATGCTAATGATAATGATGAAGATTGACATTTCAGAACTGTGATGCATATGAGGATTTCATCATGCAAAAAAGTCAATGACTTTTGATTTTTTTTAGGATTTCATTGCATTTTTTTATGTGGGTATGGTTTTCAAGTTTAATTCATAAGCGGAATGAAATATCTAGGTGGCCTAACTATTTGCAAGCTGTAACTAGTCTTGGAGGCATAATGGGTTTCTATGTATTCATATCTGATATGGAAAATGTTTTAATGCTTGAAGTTGACTGGACTTTGCTCTTTAGCAATTACTTTATGTAATCTACATCGAACAGACCAAGAGCAGGGTGAGCAGAGATGGGGTCCACCCATATATGTTGCTCGTAGAGGAAAAGTGGTCATTGCTGTCATGACTTTCTTCAATTTCCTTGATGACATATTGATTTTGTTGTAGTTTAAAAATAAAAGTTAGAATATCTAATTTTTGCTTACAGATCCATTGCATATTTATAGTCCGCAACAGACTATGCTTGCTGACTTCCATTTCATAAGTTTTTGGCTCTTTGGATTTGCTAAGCAGTATTTGTTTGGCTGAGATACTCTCTCTGTTTATGACTTGATTGGATTCCAACTTTCATTTAATGTAAATCATACCTACGCCTTGTGCTTGAGAGCAATGCATCTCGTATTGAAGTTGAAGAACCAATGAAATTCAAATGTGCTTGCTACTCTGAATGCTTGTCTGCTGGCCTAGAAGTTTTAGTTGATACTATTGTACCATGTCATGTTGGTGATATTATTTTTTCTTGCAATAATTCTTATTATAATTTGGTGCAGGTCTTCTCCAAAACGGTTGGAAGGACCTGATGGAAGAAGCTTGCAGCTGCAGTTCAGGTCAAGATTGTCTTTACCAATTTTTACTGGAGGAAAGGTAGAGGGAGAGCAAGGCGCTGCAATTCATGTTGTGTTGATTGATGCAAACAGTAACCAGGTCATAACTTCTGGGCCCGAGTCTTCTGCAAAACTAGATATTCTGGTGCTTGAGGGTGATTTCAATAATGAAGATGATGAAGATTGGACTGAAGAAGAATTTGAAAGTCATGTTGTCAAGGAGCGAGAAGGCAAGAGACCCCTTTTAACTGGTGATTTACAGGTTTCCTTAAAAGAAGGGGTGGGAACCCTTGGAGAACTAACATTTACTGACAATTCTAGCTGGATAAGAAGTAGGAAGTTCAGGCTTGGTTTGAAGGTTGCATCTGGATTCTGTGATGGTGTTCGAATTCGAGAGGGGAAAACTGAAGCATTTACAGTTAAGGATCACAGAGGAGAATGTAGGTGCTTTAAGGATTCTAGGTAGTACCTCTTTTAAATGTTTTTGGTAGAAATTTTGTTTTTTGAAGTTTTATTTTTAATGGCATGTAGTATACAAGAAACATTATCCACCTGCCCTAAAAGATGAAGTTTGGAGATTGGAGAAGATAGGAAAAGATGGTGCATTCCACAAAAAATTAAATAAGGTTGGGATTTGTACAGTTGAAGAATTCCTTCGGCTTTTAATTAGGGATCCACAGAGGTTGAGGAATGTAAGTTTCACTACTTACTGTTGTGAAATCTTCAATGACTATTGCTCCAATGAAATTTTTTCATGATTGCAGATTCTTGGAAGCGGCATGTCCAATAAAATGTGGGATGTCCTTGTGGAGCATGCCAAGACCTGTGTCCTTAGTGGAAAATACTATATATATTATTCTGACGAAGCACGGAATGTTGGTGCTATTTTCAACAATATCTATGAATTTACTGGGTTGATTGCTAGTGGACAGTACTTCTCAGCTGAATCTCTTAATGAGAACCAGAAGGTATATTTTTTGTTTGTTGTCTAATTGCTAGCGTTTATACATTCCAATGCTCTTAGCGCTTTAAAGGACATGTTGGTTGAGGTTAGGTGAGAATAGTCATGGATTACGAATCTAGTCCTGCCAATTGTTTTTGCCTCTTTATGATGCCTGGGCTAGCTAATTCAATTTAGGTGAAACAAGAGATGTTGGTGCTATTTTCAACATCTATGAATTTACAGGGTTGATTGCTTGTGGACAGTACTTCTCGGCTGAATCTCTCAATGAGAACCAGAAGGTTCATATTGTTCGCTTGTTTTTCGATTGCTAAATTTTATACTTTCTAAGAGATGTTGGTCGAGGTTAGTTGACAATAGACATGGATTAAGAATCTAGTTCTGCTAATTGTTTTTGTTCCCTTTATGGTGTCTGGGCTAGCTAATTCCACTTATATTAAGTCACGCATTTTAAAGAGGCGTTAGACTAATTATGTTATAATCCTTTAAGTTATTTAATTTGAAACCCAGCAGCCCTTACATATGTTGGGTGATTCAAATTTTGTGATATTTTGAGTGATGATAAGTTTAATAATAGGTTGTTTTTTCAATATGGTCATTGGGAAGAATCATCAAATATTCATTGGTTTCTAAATTGGTCGACCCCATGCAGTGGGATAAATATTTTATGTTGTTGTATTGATTCTATAGTGTTGGAATACTACCAAATCTACCTCAATCAGTTAAGAGATCTAGAACCAAATCTTGAAGTGATTATATGAGATTAAGTTTTTATTCTCACTCTATGAAGGGCAAGTTGCCGATTAACTAGTTGCTCTGATCAAGAAGGCTCGATTTACCAATGACTCGATATCATTAAATCAAACCAATTAAGTCAGTTTCAACGATGAAAGCGAATTGCTAGTGTGGTCAGCTAGATTAAACTTTGTCAAGCTATGAGATGTTCAAAATGGGAGTGCAAATGTACATTAGTCATTAAGCTTAACTAGGAGACTTTGTGTGTCACAAAATCTTCGCATAAACTTACCTGCATCATCACCTAGTTGAGGATATTGAGGAAAGATCTGTTGAGGAGGCCTTGAGTGCCTACTCTCAGAGGTCTTAAGGTAGTTGATCAAGCAAGTTAAAATTGATTTGGCATGACATCATGATTATTCAACGCCAAAATCTCGCTAACATTATTGAAGAGTTTGACCCAACTCGAATAGAGAATATGAACATTTAAGGCTAAACCTCAGACCATAATGGGGTTAGACAATGACATTTAGCACTTCCATATAAAGTTAATTAAGCTTACACTACATGCTAAAGGATACACACCTAGCATTGATCATGGGATGTCAGTAATAGTGTCAAGAGGATGTTGCTACCATAAGAGAGACATCCTAGATTTGACTTCTGAAGTAAGAAAAAAAATGTGTAGAAAAACAAGGATGATATCTAAACATAAGATGCGTTGAAAGATAAAATCTTCTTGAAACCACCTACATAGCATGCCAAAACCTAAGCACAACTTAAGTTCCTATGAAGGAAAATTAAAGGAAGTGACTACTCCTTTGGGATGTGACCATTCATCATGAAAATATGTGGAAGGGATGTAATCCCTTAGGGGAAAATTATAAAGGACCACACCAACGAAAATTCAATTCTTGGGTGTGTAGGTAAACCTGTATGGTTGTGCAACTCTACCTTCAATAAAAATATCCTTTATGGTTATGTAACTCAACCATTTGTAAAGACACCACTTTATGGTATGTCTCAGTCAAGCCTTGGCTCTACCTTATGACTCCTTGAATTATCTAAGAGCATCATTCTCTTCCCTTCACAAGAAATCTCATTTATGCTCATCTTGAATCAAATGCGGACAGCAACATTAAACAAAGTCAAATGAACTTTAGTGGAATCCTAATGTGAGTATAGGTGTCGATTGATACTATGTAATTGAATAGATTTGTGTATTCAAGCGGAGTTATAGGAAGTCAAGAAGAAACATGAGCATTTGGTCAAGCAATCAAATTCGATATATTAGGTTTGAGGAATGATGTCCAATGATTGATTGAGCAATTGACATCTTATGCTCTTTTTCTACTTTTGTTTAGAAGCAATTTGTTTGTTTTGGTTCCTGATAATCACCAGATTGTTCAAGAAGTCTTATCTCTCGACTGTTGGAAATTTATAATGTAGGAAGATGCCATGTGTAAGAGTAGTTGGAAAGGAACATTTTTTTTTATAGTTGTCGTTTGCTACTAGAGTGCATTAAATTAGCGTCACACAGATGATCACTAATTGTTGATTTTCCTATTAGGGTCCTTATTTAAGGAAAGAAGATCCTATGGTAGGTGGTTTTTCTATTTCACGTAGGTGGAGACTGTTAATTTGTTGAGTTGATAACTCTATCATTATGAAGACACTTCCTTATGGTATCTCTCAATTAAGCCTTGGATCTGTCTCACCCCTCCTTGAATTATCGGAGATCATCATTCTCTTCCCTTTGCAAGCAATCTCATCTATCATTCACTCTGGACCAAATGTAGAGGATAACATCGAACAAAACTAAATGAACCTAATTGGAATCCAAATGTTAGTATATGTGCCGAGTGGAGCTATATAGTAACTTAGATCTGTGTTTCTAGCTAGATTTCCAGGAAGAAACAAAAGCATTTGGCCAAATAAGTAGATTCAATAGATTAGGCCCAAGTAATGTAGTCACCTGATCAATCAAATAATTAGCATCTTATGCTCTTTTTTTGCTTTTGGCAGGGAGTAATGTGTATGTTGTGAGTCATCCTACCCTTAACATTGTTTGAGAAGCCTTATCTCTCATGACCATTAGAATGATAACCTGCAGGAAGATGCTGTGTTAAGAGTAGTTGGAAAGAAGTTCTCTTTTTGAGAATGTTGTCATTTGCCTTGATGCATTGAATGAGTATCGCTTGTATGATTATCAATTGTTGATTTTCTTACCAGGGTCCTTGTTTAAGAGAAGAAAACCCCCTAGGGTAAGGTTTGTTGTTATTCTGTTGAGATAGTGAGATTAGGTGGTGGTGGCATATTCACTATTCCTTTTATTGTGGAGAGTTAAGAGGCAGCATTTGAAGCAGCGAAAGGTTGGCGGAAGGCTGAGGCTTGGCAGTCACAACACTTAGTGTTCATATTGAGGTTGGGGATCTTAACCCATTAGTGGAGCATATTTTTTGGCATTGATGTTTAAATGATTTCATAAGTTTTTGATTCCCCGTGTGATTGAAATTTGTGATTAGAGGTGATTATATCTTCATACTTGGCTTATTTATATTTTTTAATGACTTAGCTTGGCTTTTACTTAACTTTCTTGAATTAATCAAGCAAGTACTTAAAGAGCTAAAAGACAAGCTAAAAAATGAAGTACTTTTATTAACAAATAATTTTAAGTTTAAATGAACAAACAATTTAATAAATCTAAAATTAGTATCTAATTACTTGCCTCAACTAAATAAACATCAATTAAACAAGCTAATAAATATGTCATGAATAGACATCAACATAAGATTTATTGTAATCATACAATATAAATAATTATCAACAAACATTGTTACTGAAATAGAGAAATAAGAAGGGGTTGCATTAAAACAATATGCAAATTCATTAATAAGAAATTAATTAGTTTAAAAATAATAAAAAAGTTGAAGTCGTAAACATAAATATATACTTTGATAAGAAGTATTTCTTGGGAAGTAATCTTATACGGTTATACCAACTTCTCAAAATGGTTGCATCATTTTAATCTCATATAAGTCAGATGATTTACTACAATTAGGCAAGTTAATGAAAAAATAAGATGCTTTCAATTTCACTATATTATGGACTATCACATTTCTTTCCCCTTCTTATAGTGGCATCTTTTTCGAATATCACTTCTTAGGGCATATTTCTTTCCCCTTGCGAGGGACACGGCAAGCTTGTTGGCTTAGCAAGAGGTGGAATTATGAATATAAGATATATGAATTGGGAGGCATATTAGACTATAAATAAATAAGGGAAATTTACATACATACCACTTTATAACATTCTATTTATATATCTAACATCTAAAACTTTAATATTACATCCATACCACCCTATATTATTTTAATATCAAATATACCACTTATATTTCTTTCCTACCACTCATATATTTCATTTCTACCACTCATATTTTGTATGAAAATGAACTATGGGTGGTATTTATGTAATATTAAAGTTTTAGGTGTTAAATATGTAAATAGAATAGTATTAAGTGGTATGTATGTAAAACTCCCAAGCTTTGTTCATTTAGCCATCGAGTCTTTAAAAAGAGTTCAAGCTAGTTTATTTACTAATTTGAATGAACTTGAACAAATATTAATTATGCCAAATTTGAGTTGTTTATCGAGTGCATTGGTTCACATGTTGCCCTAAGTTTCATATGGTATATTGGTATTGTTTTTTTTTTCATTCAAATCTAACTTTATTGTATGGTTCTGCATGTTGAGTAGTTTGCTTGGTGTCAGACTGATGCCCGAGTCCTAGAGGACCCCTCGAGCACTTTTGATTTAAGAACATGATATGCCTTGAAGACGAAATCAGCAAGAAAATATAATAAAAACAACATAAATTGAAAAATGATGGTTGATTTTGTATTAATACTGCAACACCAAAGTAAGATACAATGATTTACTATTAGAGAGGTAGATCGTCTCTCCCACTTGACTTAGACGTTGCTAGGAAACCCTCAAGAAAACTCTACAAAAACCTACAGCAAACTCTCAAAACAAAACTTCAAAAACAAACCCTAGAATCAACCCTAATTAAACTCCTTAATTCCCCCCAAAAGCAGCCCCCTTAATTAATTTTCCTCTCTTTTTCTATTTCAAAATTATAATTCTTTTCTTTCTTATTTCCCTCCTTATTTCCTCCCCTAGTATATTTAATCAAAGCTTTGCTGGGCCCCACAAGGGGGGCTGAACTTGCTGCCTGTTCTGCCCACTCTCTGCCCGCCTGGTTTTGCTGGATCGGCCCTAGCTGGGTCGGCTGATTGGGCTGACTGCTTATCTCCCCCATAACATAAACTTGAAGTATTTTGCTTGAGAGGGAAGTTTTATATTGTCCCCCTCACTATTGCATTGGAGGCTTGAGGCATGTGTTAGACTGGTCCAGCCGGTCCATATGGGACCGGCCTACGAACAAACTGAGGTGGAAATCCCCGCCTCCTGCATATGTCGCGCGATCCAACGCCCAGACATAGTGGTTTAGGAAGGTTTTTGAAGGGAGTTAGGAGGGAAATTTGAATGTAGGAACTGTTTAGAGATTTCCTTTTGGATTGAATGCATTTTTTTCTTCTTTATAGTAAATTTTTGTGTAAAGTTTATTTTGGATTGTATGCATTAAATATTTTGTTTTCCTAGGGTTAGGGCATCTTGAATTTGACTGAAATTTGAGATCTCTTAGGTTTTTTTGGGCTCTAGCGGCGTCTAGAGATTTGGGAGAGATAGATGCTCCTCTCGAATAGAGGATCAATTGTATTTTGCTATTTTTCTTCCGTTAGTTGGATTATTGCAATAAAATCTCCTATTTTCTGATTTTTTCCATTGATTTTGTGGATCGTTCTCGGTTTTTTTGTCAAAATCGTTAGGTTAGGTTTCACTTGAGATCTTCAAGTGTTTCCTAATAGCATGCTTGTCAGGGTTTGGGATGTGACAACTTTCTTAACTGCATGTAGAACTCATGCTCAAATAAAAAAAATACTTTAAGCTCTCCAGTGTTGTATTTTTAAGCTCTCTTGTTGTAATTGTCTTTAACTCTGAAACATGATAGCTAAAATTTCAACTTTTAGAAATCACATAATTTGCTCAGGCAATAACCTTGAGCATGCCGGATGCATGCTATTTGGAGTTCTTCATCATTTACTATTTTGTTTTTGCCATTCTTTTGTCATCAACGGTATGTTGTCATGTCATGTTTGTCATCAACGGTATCTCTTAATATCTTAGTGCCTTAAAAATACTCATGGCCTCTGAGAGAAAATTCAAACATTTGATATTTGCAGATATTTGCTGATACGTTGGTAAAGAAGGCATATGATAATTGGTTGAACGTTATAGAGTATGATGGCAAGGCCCTTTTGAGCTTTAAAAACAACAATAAGGCCACTCGCAGTGAAACTTCATCAGATTGTTCTACTTATTCCCAACAAATCCAACAAGTTGCACAGCAGCAGTTACCAGCTCCAGTTGCTGTAGAGCAGCCTTCAATTGATACCTCGGTGCCCGTTGGAGGTGAGAATTTAATTAATTTGCACCATCTTATGCCTTTATACTCTCAAGCAGCATTGATCAGATTCCATTTATATTCCATTGTAGTGTTGTATTTCTTTTGTTTCGATGACTAATATGTATTAAGGTTATCATCATTTTCGGAGTTCCTTGCATAATCTTCGACAGTCCTATCTGCTTTTTGGATTTTTACTCGCTGAGAGGGTCATCTTTCATTTATAATAAGCCATATTTTCAATCAACAATTCATTCAATAGGTTCCTTATTTGTTCAACAAAATTACAGATCTCTGCTTAATCTTTAAAGTTAAAGAGCAAAATATATTAGAAGGAAATCGTAACTAATTGATGGATAAACCTTATATTACTTTTATAACATGTTATGAGATTTTAAAGAAGAACATTGATTACTGTGAAGTCACGCGTTAGAAATCATGATCATCTAATTATACTGCTTGCTTAATGCAAGCAGCTGCCAATTAGAGAACAATTAACATTGACTTTCAAGGTTAGATGAGTTGGTTTCTAATATTTCAAAGCAAAGTGGAAATTAGAAGCTAAGATCATAGCATATCCACCTCACAATTGCCTTATCTGATCTGTGAGCTTGCATCTTTTTTAAGCTTAAATAGCAAAATATGGAACTAATATTAAGTGCATATGGTTATGTACGTGTTGAATTCATTTTGTCAGATCATACTACCTTAATGTAAGTGTAGTCTGAAATACTAGGATCAAAACCTGTGTATAATGAGTTTCATTGAAGAATTATGGACCAAAGATTCTGATATTTATTTATCAGGATGACAAAGATCAAAATGGTCCTTCTCAGACTAGACTATCTTATGTGCCCATTTTAGTCTATTGACTAATAAAATCTAATTCCAAATAGTCTATCTATTGGATTATTTTGGATAAGAGTCAAAATATTATTTTGGATTAGATTTGAGAACTCAATGAACTAAATTTGATATATTAGATAGTTTGGGATTAAAATAACCCATCATATGTAGTCCAAGACCATTTTGATCTTTTTCACATTATTTATCATTTAATCATGACAATTTTACATGGCTAAATTGATGATTTTTTTTCAATTAAATTAAATCTTAAAAGTTTCCTTTAGGTGTATAAATAAGCAAATACATTTTAATTCTAAACTGCTACAATATGCGTTTGGCTTGTGATGTTGGTCGCTGAAAATTTTATATAATGTACTTAAATAACAGTATATTAGAAAAAATTTGAGATTATATATCGAGCTATTTGATTGAAATTGATTACTGATACCTTAGAAGTAGTGTTTTGAGCACATATGTGAAATATGTGAAGTAATAAAGGTGCTATCCTGGAAATCCCTTTTTCCTTGTTCTCCATTAATTTCTTCTCGCCTGCTGCATTCTCAGATTTCACATGGCTATCTTTTCACCTGATTAAATCACAGCCGCTACTTTCTAACCACCTCAAATGGCATTTATGTAATTACCTTAATGTCTTGGCTAGTATATATGTAACTACTGTTTACAGCATCCTTTGTATTAATGAAACATACTACTATGTTTCTTCTGTTCTTCTCTACTTTCAGTTTTTCTATTCTGTTCAAGCTGTATTTTATACAGCAGCTTGTAAACAAGCTCTACAGGTATTTCACTATGATATCAGAGCTATTTGCGGAACTGCAAATGATACCTCTCATACCTCGTCAACCAATGTTAAGCCCCCTGCTAGCTCCACGATTAACACCACAGAAACCCCTATTCCTGCCTCCTTAAAGTTCTTGGTCTCTAATATAAAAAATGTTTTTCACATTTAGTTGTTGCCGGACAACTACCCCACATGGCTACCTCAAATTCAGAAGCTTATTCTCGCAAATAGTTTCATTGGGTACCTTGATGGCACCACCTCATGCCCACCCAAACATATCATCTCTGGTACAGAACACTTAACGCTAAATCCCCTCTATACTCACTAGCTTCTTCTTGACCAAAACTTATTCTTTGCTCTCCTCTCTACCATTTCCTCCTCATTGCTACCCTACATCATTAACTTGGACTCTTGTCATTCCGTATGGACAACTCTTGAGTGTCGACTGTTCTCCACAAACCTTTCCAAAGTTTAACTCAAGAACGAGCTTCATTCACTTACTATGCGAAATCAATGGATGACCGATTACCTCTCTACAGTCAAACACCTGGTGGATAACATTGCTGATGGTGGTGGGATTATTGATATAGAAGATATTATCCTATACATTCTAAATGAGTTGCCCGCCCACAAACAATCAAACTTTCAAAACATCAATTAGAACCAAGCTTACCCCTATCTTCCTAGATGATTTATACTCCCTTCTCTGCAGCGAAGAAATAAATCTTGCCACTGATGCTGCCAAAGAGCTCTCTCTGTCGGATCCGTATGCCACATCTGATACCCAGTTTTCTCTTGCATTAACTAGGAGCCGTGGTCATGGTCGTCAGCTATTTCAGTTTCGAGGTTGTGGTTGTTCTTTGTTCTATACGTTCGTATCCTTTAGGGGCGGCAAAGCAAAAACTTCAGTTGATTGTCAAATATGTTGAAAAAGAGGTCACTCCGCCTTCTCTTGCTGACACCATGCCAACCTTCAATGCACTTCGTCTGCTTTTCATGCCTTGCTTGCTGAGTCATCAACACCATCTTCTGTTCCTTGGTATCTTGATAGTGATAGTGGAGCAGCAGCTCACTTAACATCTGAGCTCCACTCCTTACATAATGCTTATACTTATCAAGGTTTAGATCAAGTACTCATTGGCAACGATACAACTCTTCCCATTGCTCATTCAAGCAAAGTTCTCCTACCTACACCCGCTCATATGCTCACACTAAACTCTCTTTTGATGTTTCATGCTCATCATACAAACTCCTCTCCATATCTAATCTTGTTGCTGATAACAACTATTCTAGATCTTTTAACTCTTCTAGTTATGTCATCAAGGATCGCAATCAACAACTTCTTCTCCAAGGATCCTGTCTTAATGGCCTCTACTCGATCTCCACAAGCTCCACCTGAAGGCTCACTCCACCAACTGTGTTTCTTGCAACATCTACTTAATAGTCTTTGGCACCAATGTTTGGGCCATCCAAATTCAGTTATAGTTTCTGTTATTGCAAAACATTGAGCTCGTTTATGTATTTATTCCTATTCTCCCCCTATTTGTAACTCTTGCGCTATAGCTAAAAGTTACAAACTATCTTTTAATGAATCCACAAGTTTTTCTACTACTCTTGAATTGATCCATGCGAATGTTTGGGGTCCATCCCCTGTGGCTTCTACAGATGGTTTTTATTTTTACTTAATTCTTATTGATGACTACTCTCGGTATAATTGGATATTTCCATTGAAATTTAAATCAGATATTGCACACAATTTTATTCAATTCAAAAATTTCATCGAAAAACATTTAGATAAAGCCATTCGAACTCTCCGAACCGATGGTGGTAGCGAGTTCCTTAATCATAACCTTCACACCTTTCTAGCTAAAAATGGCATTCATCACCAACATACTTGCCCTTATGCTCCTCAACAAAATGGTATTGCTGAACGAAAACACCGTTATCTCCTAGAAACAGTTCATACTCTTCTATGTGAATCCAAGTTATTTTATCATTTTTGGGTTCACGCTCTTCTCACTGTTGTATATCTTATTAATTGTCTCCCTTCTCCAACTACTTCTCACAAATCTCTCACAAATCTCCTTTACAGCTTCTCTACAACAAACACCGAACTATTCTCATATTTATGTCTTTGGTGTTATACATGTTATCCCTGGCTTCGACCCTATGCCTCACATAAGCTTGCACCCCGCTCAATTCCCTGCATTTTCATTGGATATACTTCAAATAAAAAAGGATACAAATGCTACAACCCCAATTCGAGCTGCATTTTTGTATCCAGGCATGTTATATTTGACAAATCAAATATACCTCCAAGTTCATCCTCTTCCATATCCTCTTCCATATCCTCCACAGAAAACTTTTCATTTCCTTTACCTACAACTACCGTTCCACCCCCTTTGGCATCTACTATATCTCCTCCTAACAGCACACAAAAATCTTCTTCAACATTCTCATCCCCACTAAATGCCACTTCCCCCTTCTTCCACCTCATCTCTTACACCTTCCACTTACCAAATCTCAGCTCCACAACAAGTCCGACACGTAATGGTCTCCCGACTTCATACAGGCTCTCTTAAACCCCGCTAAATTCTTGACCTCAGTCATATTATTCAAACCACCCCAACCAACTACAATTCATCCTTTAAAATCCTTGAATGGCGTCAAGTCCTATCTGCTGAATTTAATGCTCAACAAGTTGTGTTGAGGTGGTGTAATGCAACTACAATATGCATATGAAATAAAAAGCTCAAGGCACGTGGATACTAGTTCCACCGCAACCCCATCAAAATGTCATTGGATGCAAATGAATATTTAAAATTAAAAAACATTCCGATGACTCTATTGCTTGTTTCAAGGCACGGCTTGTTGCTCAAGGATTCAAACAAGAGTATGGGTTTGATTATCATGAAACCTTTAGCCACGTTGCTAAATCTCTCACAATTCGTCTATTTCTCACAATTTCCCTTCATTTTTAGTAGCCAATTCTACAACTTGATAGAGCCAATTCCTTTATTCATGGTTCTTTAGATGAAATGGTTTTCATGTCTCAACCATAGGGTTTTCAAGATATCTAATATCCTAACCATGTATATCTACTAAGGTCTCAAACAAACTCCCTGTCAATGGTTTCCACTCTTTCCTCTTATCTTACTCTTCAAGGTTTTCATTCCAGCTCAGTTGATTCTTCTCAAATGATCTACAACACCAATAATATCCACATATACTTTCTCATCTATGTTGATGATATCTTGGTCACTAGTAATGATCATTCTTTTACCACTGCTCTTCTACACAAACTTCAGCTACATTTCAATATGCGAAATCTCGGCAATTTGTCCCGTCTCTTGGAATCGATGTCACTTTAGAAAAACCAATCCTATCACCTTTCTCAGCATGCCTATATCATGAAACTTCTACAAAAAGCTGGCATGACAAATTGTAATCCAATCCTCAATCCTCCGCCCCTGCAACAACCATTTCATAATCCTTCCATGTTTTGATAGTTGATTGGATCCCTTCAATACCTTACCTCCACCCGTCCTAAGATTGCATTTGCTGTAAATAAATCATCTACTTAAGCACATACTTCGGTACCTAAAGGGTACCCCAACCCATGGTCTTCTTTTCAAACGAGGCCAACTCCAGCTTCAAGCATTTTCTACTTGAATTGGGCAGTTGATGACCAAGATCGCAAATCCACTACTGGTTTTTGTATCTTTCTCGGTCCTAACCTCATCACCTAGAGTGTAAAAAAACGGACTATGGTCTCTCATTCGTCTACAGAGGCTGAATACCGCTCCCTCCCTTGCTGCCGCAACTACTGAAATTATCTGGCTTTCTCGTCTCTACCAAGATTTTTCCCTTAGTCTGGATACAACTTCTTTGTTATGTGATAATATTTCTACTCTCCCCATCACCAACAACCTGATCTTTCATGCGCGGACAAAACATATAGAGATCGATCATCATTTCGTCCATGAAGCTATACAATCCGCTGTTATCACTGTTTGACATATATCTTCAACAGATCAGGTAGCTGACATTTTAACAAAAGCTCTACCCAACTCTACCTTCTCCTATCTCAGACACAAGTTGACAGTCTACGATAGCTCTCATCATATTTATGACTGTAAAGAATGTAGTTTTTTAAATAATTATAACAAAAGTAAAATAAATGGAAAGGTTTGATTGACCTATGTGTAAACCCAGTGTTTATGTATAGCAGAAAAATTTGTTACCCTTGTTAGTAAAGTTGGAACATTTGGTATCTAGATAAATTCCAAATTGAAATGCTTTGATCTCCTCCCTAAACAACCGTCACTGCAGCCTCTATCAATCTATGACTCTCTTCTTCTTCCCCTCCTTCCTTCTCAATCCATCCTAAAACTGATTTTGATTGTTTGATTTTCTTCATCTACATTATCAGGGATAGCTGCTGCACCGTATAATGGGAACCAACCTGCCAGATATGCAAATCAAACCCAGCAGATCAACTCAGATGTCCACATGCAATATGACAACAATTCTTTTGGTCCACAGAGTCAATTCAATAGCTCATCTCACCAGACTCTTGTCACTAGAAGCAACAATCCAGGGCTTGCTTTGCCCCCTCCTCAGCACGCAAGCTTAGGTTATCAGCCCGTACAATCAGTAAATGCAAACTCCTATGATGACTGGTCCCGTCCACGTGACAATCGTGGCGTCGACGAGTTTTTCTCCGAGGAGGAGATACGAATGAGAAGCCATGAGATTCTTGAGAATGAGGATATGCAGCATCTACTTCGAGTCTTCAACATGGGAGGAGCAGCTACTAGTAATCTCCAGGAAGATGGATATGGCTTCCCATCATACATTCCATCTCCATTCCCCAGCTATAACTTCGATGATGATCGCAGCCGTTCGTCTGGTAAAGCTGTTGTTGGGTGGCTTAAGATCAAGGCAGCCATGAGATGGGGAATTTTTATTCGGAAGAAAGCAGCTGAAAGAAGAGCTCATCTTGTCGAGCTCGAAGACGATTAGTAATGGTAATGTTGTTAGCAATTGTAAAATGAAGAGTCTGGAAGTCCTGCTGGTAATGTTAGAGAATTCCTCTTCACTGTATATTAATGTTCTTCCCGTGTTCAGTTTATGCCAATCCTTGAGCACTTTTTCTTCTACAAAATATCAGGAAAGGCTGTTTGAATTAAGATTATTTGGTGAATGAACAAACGTTGTCCTACTAAATCTTCTTAGTTTTGTCAGTAGCATGGATTCGGATTCCTTAAATAGTGCTTATTTCAAATAAGTTTGAATGCAGTTTATGCCACTTGTGTGAACAACATTGATATTGCTTTCAGGATGAATTTTCTTTAGCTTTGCAAAATAATATTGATGTGACATGGATGGGTGGGATTAAGGTTTCGTTTGGGTCAATTTTCTTATTGTATTGTAGACTACTGTAGGGAGAGTAATTTTTTAAAGCTATTGTAGAAAACAGTTTCCGTGTACAAAATTTTTTGGAAACAGCGAAACTGCAGTGCCCGAATAAAAATTCGGTTGCAATATGAAAAACAAAACAATAAGAAAGTTATCTCAAACAAAGCCTAAAATTTGTCCCTCTATGCACATTGCATTTGTTTTGGTTTATAGCATCAATAATTCCCATTTTTCTATGAAGACAATTGTTACACTTTTTTTTTTTTTTTTTTTTTTTTTTTGAGGTTTTTGGGACATCTTAAAGATGTGTTGGACATATATTATATACAATCATGCTGCTTATTGTGGAAAATATTATTTTTTTAAGTTTTTTTTTTTAATTTCTCGTTTATTTAATGTGAATATTGCTTTAAAAAAGAAATTTGTAATATGTGTTTTAGAAATCTGGTTTGTCATGCTTTGGTTACACCTTCAATATATATATATATATATATATATATATATAAAGAACATGCAAATATGAAGTTATAAAAATGTGATGGACAAATATTACATATAAATATGCCATCAAAATTATTGACATGTCTAATAGGGTTGTCAAAAAAGCTCATTAGAGCAATTAGGTCTCTTAGGTTTCGTTTGGCATGGCTTTCTTTTTATTTTTTAAAGTAATTTTTTTCTACAAAAATTTTAATTTTTATATTAAAAAACTGCTTTAAGAAACAATAAGAAAGTCATCCCAAACAAAATCTTAAGCTTCGTTTAGAATGACTTTATTATTGCTTTTTAAAACAACTTCATAGTGCAAAAGTTAAAATTTTTATACTCGAAAACTATTTTAAGGAGAAATAAAAAAAGCTGTAACAAACGAAGCCTGACTTTTTTTGGGACGGCTTGTTGCTTCTTAAAGTAATTTCTAGTAAAAAAAATTTAAATTTTTTGTTCTAAAAAGTTATTTTAAGGAGCAAGAAAATTGTCTTAAATAAAGCCTTTGACTATTTCAAATTGGTCTAATTTGGATCATCTCGCTCAAATAGGGTTGTTCTAGGTCAAGATGCGTTCAAAATCTTTTGGTTTAGGTCTAAATGGTATAATCTTACCAAGAACAAATTATATTGATTATAAATTTCTTAAATTGGAGTTTCTAAAATCATTATTTAAATTTTGAAATTCATTTTAAAGGTGCTCCATATCTAAAAAAAAAACTTCTTAGAAAATTCTCTTCCATCAAGTTGATTGTGCGTGCTATATTTTAGGCATTGGTTTCTATTAATTCTAAAATATTTTATCCTAAAAAATTTGTCATCTAAAAAAAGTATAGAAATATTCAAAATTAACCACTTTCAAGATATCAAAATTTAAGCTTCATTTGGAACGGCTTTCTTAATATTTTCTAAAACTGTTTTTTAGTACAATTTTTTTTTTAATGCAAGAATTTTTGCACTAGAAAGTTGCTTTAGATATCAACAAAAAAGCTGTCCCAAACAAAATCTTAATCTCCCCATAATATTATTAACCATTGTTTAAAATGTAATGAACATCTTAAGTGCACACAATAATCCATAAATACAGTGCCCTAATTGTTTATGAGCAATTTACTAAGTGTTTAATTATTAATCAATAAGTACATGCTGAGTTTTAACTTCTCCCAATTTGTTAATTATTATATCATTACTTTTTAATATTAAGTTAGTAGCCCAATATAATTTAATATTAATTATATATTCATTTTTATTTATGCTTATTTATCATATCTTAATTATATAAATATTGTATTTTTATTCATTAATTCAAAATATTATTTTATTTAAAATGTTGAGTGTAGAGTGCAATTTGATACAAATAGGATTCGATTCAAGATATTAATAACTTTCACTATTTTTATCAACATAACATCTATTAATATTAATAAGAAGGAATGTTTATTTACATTTTAATAAATTCTTATGAATTTATATTTATTATTGTTGCGGGCTAGAATATTCGCGATGGTAAAGTATATAATTTCACGTCTTAGCGTTGCACGAGTATTCAGCTCACAAATAGAGAAAGTAGAAATATTAGAATTTTTATGTGAAAAATCCTGAAGGCTAAAATCATGGGGTCACGCCCAGTTGAAATGAATTTACTAGTGTTTAAATAAATTACAAAAGATTGATTCATCCTTGAACATGAGGACGATCATATTACAATAGTCAGCTGTTGGTTAGAAATCTAGTGACGAATAGAAACTAAACGGAAGTCTGACAACTGTCACTGGTCGAGCGTAAATCTGGCATTAATTGGTGGCTGGGCAGAAGTCCGACGACAGTTGGTGGCTGGGCAGAAGTCCATTGAAAGTCCGACGATTGTCAGTGGTTGGGCGATGGTCGATGACGAGTTTGGTGGTAAGAGAACTCTTCATTCTCTTCCTTTCATCTCTTCATTCTCTTACTTGCTTCCTTTCTTGGCACCCTTCAATGAAAAATGAGGGATCTATTTATAATTTTTTGGGTGTGGCATGACTAGTAAAATATAAAGAAGATCAGGGGCTTATTGGAACTGTTCCGAATGGACGGCCGATAACAACTCCTTTGATCGTGGATTGTTAATTAAGTATTTGAGTGTCTTAATGATATTAGAATTTGGTAATCTTGTGCTCATTGGATTCATCTGGTTGAGCCGCTTGATTCGATTATAAGTATGTCATGTTTAGAAAATCTTTAGTCATCCAATTTATGGTTTGAACCTTTCAAATGTGCTTATGGTCTTTGATTTGGATCAATTTGGGCTTGAATTGGTTCAAATTTGATGTTGTTGGTTCATCTTTTTGAGACGTTCAATTCGAAAATAAGTTTATTGGAATCAAAGTTGAGATTGCTTTAATTTTGGAAGTTTCTAATTCAAAATTTTCTCGAGATTCATGCTCGATCATAAAAATTATTTGATGATGTACCAGTTACCCCCAATTTTTGGACGCCAAAGCTCTAAAAATCTAAAAATATGTGTAATCACTTCTGAGAAATTCTTGATGTTGTTCAGAATTTTAGAATTGCTTGATCGTTACTATAGAGCACCCGATTAGCTCCAAAAGTGTCAAAATTGAGTCCGAAATGTCAAAAAATGATCCCAAAGACCCCAAAAATATTAGAATTGGAATGGTAGTGCCAAAAATCAAGCAGCGTGACTTAGAGACTAAACCGACCTACTAGCATGCCCCCATAATTTTCCCATGCACCAGCGGGCCCGTATTGCCCTCACACTCAGGCCCTCGCGCTACCTGTAAGCACACATTCCCACACTGCCAACCAGCACGATTGCCCGCGTAATCTGGGAAGTGTTATTTCGATGTTGTGCATTAGTTGGTGTGCCACCCGTAGCCACGGCTGCATTTTTTTAGGTCATTCCTGACCTTTGGAGTTGATTTCAAGTAGTTTGGAGTTTATTTGAAGCAAAATCATTAAAGCCCCTTCAATTGAACCAATTTTAAAAATTTAATAAATTATCAAACTTTGAGAAATCATAACTAATTCAAGAAAAATTCAAATTCAACAAACTCAAAGACATTCAACTCATATGAAAAATCTAATATTTATTGAAATATTGAACTTCCATAAATCATTCAAATTTGAAAAAATCAACTTTTGGTTAAACTTTAATTAAAAATCAAGTCAATACTTCAAACCTTCATAATAAAATAATAAAATTCAAATCCAGCAAATTTAGTATCTAACAACTCATCTTAAGATCTGATATTTTAATAAAATACTAACTTTTAAGAATTCAAACTTAATTAAAAAGTTAATTTTTAACCCCTTAATTAAATAATTAAAATAATTTGAAAATTCCAAAAACTCAAAAATCACCTTAAAATTTCAAAAATCTTTAATCAAATTTAAAACCAACAATTAACCAACTTTAATTAAAATTTATTAACTTTTAAATCTTAATCAAATAAAATAACTTAATCATATCAGGTACCACTAGGTAACTCAGGCCTACGAGACTATTAAATAGCCTCAAGGAAGGTGAAATAAACTTCACGGCCTCGGTGAATAATAAAGGTGGCATCTAATGAACAATTAAAATCAATCTTAAAATCATTTTCAAATCATTAATACTTAAACTTTATTTAAATATTTCCTTTAAGTCTTTCAACCAACCAGAACCTTAAGCAACTTCAATCAAATATCCTATATAAGATATATCCAAACCACGCAGTCTTTTACACACTTTAGAAGGTCTGCTAGGACAACCAATTCTAGTTTTAGGCTAGGCCAGCATTTACTTTTTTGAAGTTGTGTGCCGAGTTTTTTATGATTTTCATTGCATGTTATTTGCTAGCTTAAAATTGATGTGTTTATTTACTTACTTTCTGCACTCTGTGATGTGGTTGATTGTGCGTTATAGCTATCCTTAGGTTAGGAACTCTTTATACTAATTCAATCTTGTGCAGGTGACCATGCTCATACAATGCAATTAAAATAAAGGGGGCATTAAATAAAAAAATATTATTATGCTTTGTACAGGTACTTCCTACGCTTAAGACCCCCTTTAAATAAAAAGTGTATGGCCAAGTGTGACTATAATTATGCATTTTAATCTTCAAATATTAACTGCTTGTGATTAATTAATTATAGATTATTAGGATAACCATACAAGTGATCTACGTCTAGATTTTCTTTTAAATTTAAATGTAATTTGATCTATTTGAGTTGTAAATGTTAAGTGACTAATTGAGATGGGATATTTATATCCAACATGGATTTCAAAGAAGAGAAGATATCTCTAAGGGGAGAGTCTTCCTCTATTTGGAAGACCAAGTTAGGATACCTTTCAAATATCCAAAGAGAAAAGATAACAACCCATCCAAGGGAGAGTTTCTTTTCATTTGGATATCCAAAACCGACG